AACGTTCATGTCAACTGTCGTTTCACACCTTTAGGCTTGGTCTGCCATTGGACAACAATGCGGCGTTTCTACACGACACTGAAACTTAAGACGGTCCGTTTTCTACCACATTCGAAGCCATCCACATTTACCTCACTTTTTCCATCCACGATGAACTGGCTGAGTTTCTCTAAACTTTGAACGAAATCAAAACTAAATAATCACCTGCAGGTTAAAAGCACGTACTATAAACATCATGCAACACAGTTCAGAATCGCTTGATCTTTGTTTACCCTACAGAACGATCCGAAATTGATTGGGGTCTTTCTGAATATGAGTAGTAAATGCTCTGGCAGCAGGCTGCTCTATCACCTGTAGCTGTATTTCCTTAGAACGCTTCAAAAATGTTTCCCTATGCCGAATGGGCTGCCTGTTTAACTCGTATTATCCGGTCTGCGAATCATGCCTATTAGACATTGATACCGTCATCCATGTTTTCACCATGAAGTCTGAAATCCGGCTTTGGTTATATTACTTGTTTAGTAATCTCCTCAGTCTTGTTGTAAACGATCTCAACCTGGCTTTGTCACCTTAACTTACCGTTATGCCGAACCACAACTTTTCGTGATCTATAGTGACGTGGGATGCATTGCTACCGAGGTTTGCCGAGTGTCTTCTGATGCCCACTGGTTCTGTGAACTAGTTAGTCACCCAAGAGTACAATTCCTCAATTTGCCATTGTACCAGCATGGTAACTCCAGCTGACGAATAAACTTTCACAAACTTTCACAAATTCTTTCTTAGTAGGATTTTCAGTTCACTCTCAATCACAACGATGGGATAAGAGCCGGACCAGGCCAGGCCGAGTGACAGGAACAGCAAGCTACCAAGAGTTAGCTAGTTGACCAGCTCGGGTGCGGGTTGGAAACCCAACTTGCGAAGTGTTTCTGAATTTTCTGACTGCTTAAAGAATACAGCTTAGTAAGGGTTCCACCGATCAGATTTGTGTTTACCAGTCAGATATTTCGTCACGTGATCATTTAAACAGTTATATAGTTTTTGAGAGACTTTCATGCTCCGCGTATTTTCTCAATCGATCTTGCTGGTACGTGGTGACTAGTTTCCCAAACATCTAAATAAACAGTAGCTGGGTGTTGAATCTGTTTGCTACTCTCCACACATTTTCACCCTCAAGTGTCATTGTCTTGATTCGGGTGTATTACCAATCATCAGACATGCACTTTTTGTTCAATCCATCTCTTCACAGAAATACAGCAGTTATCTAAGGTCATCCAAAAGGAGGCCGCGCTCTACATTATTGGTTTGTAAATAACTGCACAGATATTCAATCGTTTCGCTGATGGTAACATTTTTGAACAGTGAGCTGACGTCCAGCGAGAGCACTTTTCGATCGACCAAGTTTATTTCACGAAATTTTGTTCACAAAAGTAAATGTATCTTTGACAGTGTTTTGCCAAACTGGCTCGAACGGATTCTAACAATTTGGCCAACCACTTTGCCAAGGCATGATATGGTGAGTTGCGCATATCCAAAATCGGTCGTAATGGCGCTCCATCTTTATGTACTTTTGGTAATCCATACAACCTCGGAATAACAGTCCCGGTTTGCCTAATTATTTCGAAAAGGGATGCATCAATGACTCCTCTATGATTTAAGCATCGCAACGATTGAATACCTGTGCAGTTATTTACAAACCAATAATCTAGAGCTCGGCCTCCCTTCGGATGACCTTAAACAACTGCTTTATTTCTATCCGTATAATGTTCAGTTCAAGTTTAACGATGAGATCTATCGACAAAAGGATGGCGTGGCTATGGGGTCTCCACTGGGACCACTTTTCGCAGATCTATTCATGACGAAGCTTGAAAACACTCAATTACAATCATCCATATAAGACTGTATACCATACACACGGTACGTAGATGACATTTATTGTGTGACCGGTGCAACATCGAATACAACGGAACTAATAAACAGGTTCAACAATGCGCATCCCAACTTAGCATTTACTTTAAAAATTGATTGTAACAACAAATTGCCATTTCTAGATGTCTGCATCATCCATCGATCAGATGGTTCAGTGCCGCGTTCCGTGCATAGAAAGGCAACGTGGAAAGACCAATACATTCATTTCCGAAGCTTTGTGCCACTGAAGATAAAAGAAAACCTGAATCGCTGTCGAGCGAATAGGGCAAGAAAGATTACCAGGGATGACACGCTAGAAGAAGAATTCCGTACTGTAAAATCGATTTTTGCACGTAACGGATATCCGTAGCGTTTAGTTAACAAAATGATTCAGTGCACGGAAAACTTTTTACAAAACACCGAGGTTGGGAAAAAGTCCGTGTACATTTCTTTACCGTTCAACGGGGACACATCAGCCGAGATCATACAAAGAAGATTATCTGACGCAATCGATAAGACGTTCTATGCATCTAAGCTTCGTGTGTTGTTCAAGTCCAAGCCAATTGTGTGTTTGTGACTGAAGGACAAAGTTCCAGACTCTGCGGTCTCATTCTGTGTATACTCATTTACTTGTTCCTGTGGAACAACGTACATGGGCCGAACGGATTCGTGAACACCACCCCGCGTGGCTGAACACCGGAACAATTAAGTCACTTATCAGTACTGTGGTTTTACACCTAGCTGAAACAAATCACACCGTGAACGTGTGGCAGACTTTCCGACCGCTGTACAAAGTTCGTGGGCGATTATCGAGGTAGGTTTGCTGTCGGATGTTGGCTACGGCAGAAGCGGTGGGCATTTGTCTGCACAACCCCCCTTTGTGTGCCAAAAAACAATTTGTGCAAGCGATAAAGCTCCCCTGGCTCACCCAACCCCCATACAAACCGCATCGTGAGTAATCTAGCTGATCGAATGAGTGGTCAAACAAATATATGATCGTAGTGAACCCGATTTCCGGACTCACGATGAAATCGTTTCCAGTTATCTGTGTTTTCATTTTATTTTATTTTTTAATGACAGTTTTAGTCCCAAGTAGTGACATATATCAAGATGTATTGGTATGAATTTCGATTCTCCGAAAATGAGCTTGTTCGCCGCTCTGTTGTTTTGATTTGAGGTGTGTTGTTTATGTAATTGTAACGTTTAGTATTTACAATACCGCATACGGTATTCACTATTGTTGGAACCGAATAAACCTCTAGGAAACTTGGACTTGGCTTCTGAGGTTGCGCGTCACTCAACGTTCGCCTGGATAGACACTTGGATTTAACACCAGGTTTGAGGTACTTCAATCGAACGCTTCATTCTTGCATGGTAATAACCAATCGTATGTACTCGGCATTGCGTAATTGACGTGCATAAAAATGAGTCTTGCCGCATTATGTGCACGCAAGAACGGCCAGAAGATTCCATCAATCCAGTTCCGTAATTTTGCGTAGGCAATGTATTTGCATTCGGATTGTGAGTTCCATGGTTCAAATCTCTGGTCGGTTGAAATATTTGCCTTGCAAACATCGCACGTCAGAAGCAATTGGTTGTTTTTCAAGTAACCAGTAACTTTTTCTCTCAGGATAACTAATCAAGGCAGATGAAAAACAATCTCAAAATTTAATCACTCGCTTTCATCCAGTGATCTAATCTAGCTCCAAATCATAGAACCTGCGTGTACAACATTGACCGTAGTGTTTGTAGAAACCTATTAATAATAATAATAATGAAGATAATGGTAATAGTAATAATAATAATAATGTGAATAGTGATATTTCTCTGAGTTCCATTCCTTCAAATCTTCATAAGATTGATTTACAATCATTAGCATCGAGACTGGTTGGATGGAGCAGCGTTAAAGATGAACTGAAAATGTTTGACGCTTTTAGGTGGGATTGGAACGGCCGACCTCGGACCATGCAAGGGCAACTCATAACGCAGGTACGTGTACGCTCGTGTGTGAAAGGGCGAAGGAAATAATGAATGAATGAATCAATCAATTATTCAATCAATCAATCAGTTTAAATTTGCGGTGAGAATCGATCAACGGAGAAATGCGTTAATCATAAAAATGAACTGGCCAAACGGGGTACAGCTTTCCTTCTTGATGATGTTATCGTGGTCATCAAAACAGGAACGAGCGCGAGTGGAGGTGGGTGGTTGGATGGATGAAGACAAACTGTTTGGATGAATTCAATAGAGAGAATTA